ATGCTAAAATGCCACTTGAATAAGATTTTCATACTGAAGGAAAGATCTATAGCTAGATCCAGGGCTGCTGACTCTAGCTCCTGGTGTATCGAAAATCCTGGACCATGTCTCCATGTCTCTACCCGAGTGACTCTTCAGGACCTCAAAGCCACAAGCCCTTCAGCACCAAAGGCTGCTAGATTCCCAAGAATCCATGATGAGACAGAACATAAGTCAGCGAGCAAGGATCCCAGGCTACTGGATGGTGGTGGTAGATGGAAAAGAGAGCAGACAGCTTAGAGAGTGGTTGGGGACTTATGAGAACCATGTGCTCCCTGGCCAGGAGTTCCTCTAGAGTTCTCATTGCCTGGGAGAACACCCATGTTCTCTCACAGCCTACAATATCAGATACTTGGAATGACAGTCAACGTGGCTTAATTTGCCTTTTGTAATTTATAAAGAAATATAATATGAACCACACATATAATTTCAAGTTTTCTACTTAACTTTCTTCTGTTTAAGCCATGTATCTTGTTACTCAGAAGACTGAAGCAAGAAGAATGCTTGAGTGAGGTCAGCCTGGACTACTAGTAAGTTCTAGGACAGCCTGAGCTATGATTTGAGGTCCTGGTAATGTGAAAACCTATTGCAATCTCCTCAATAAAATTACAACAACATCAAAACCCCAAACCAAAAACAAAGCACAAAAAAACAATTATAAGTGAAAAGAAGTTTCTATTCACCCTGGGGAGGCTGAGGTAGGATTAGGAGTTTGAGGCCAACTGGAGCCACAAAATGAGAAAAACAGAACAAAACAGGCAATTTTTTTCATAAACTTTTCCATTTAATTAAAAATATCCAACATGTCAATCATTTTAACATGAAATTCAATATAAAACTTGAGATAATTTACCTTTTATTTTTATTATGTGCTCTTTTCAAACCCTTACAGCATGTTTGTGTGTGTGTGAGTGTGAATGTGTGTGTTTGTATGTGAGCACATGTGTGAGTGTGAATGCGTGTGAGTATGTGCATGTGAGTGTAAGTGTGAGTGTGTGTGTGAGTGAGTATGTGTGTGTGTGTGTGTGTGTGTATACATGCACATGTGGAAGCCAAAGAACAAACTGAGCTGTCATTCATCTTGCTTTGTGAGACAGGGTCCCTCTCAATGGCTAGAGAGCTATGCTGATTGGTCAGGGTGTCAGGAACCTGCCTGTCACTGACTCTTCAACACTGTCATTACAAGCATGTGGCACCATGTCCAGTTTTGTCTGTTTTTTCCCCAGGTGCATCCTGGGGATGGAACTCGGGTCCTCAGGCCTGTGTGACTAGACTTTATAAACTAAGTCCATCTCCCCAACCCTTCCAGCAATCAAAACTTAGACTAACCACATGTCAAGTAGCTATCATTATTGTGCAACACAGAACTAATTAATAAACACTTGTATTCCTAAGAAGCTCCTAAATTGCTTTTCCATCTCTGCAGACCCTGCTCCTTAGGGTAGGCCTGAGGCAAATAGAAAAACAGGGAGAAGGGACTTTTCCTCTGATGGAGGCGCAGGGGCCTCTCACCTTGGGATCTGGTTTAAGTCTCTTAATTAGAATTTCCAGACTACCCGCAATGAACTACATCTTTTTTCTAAAAAATATCTTCTAAGTAAGATTATGAACCATATGTACAGTAAAAACATATGCCTTTACCTGTGGACTATGGATAGGAAGAATACTTTTTACCTTTAAAAATGTTACTATGTTTGAAAATCTGTTTTCAAGTTGTGCTTTGCATGCTCATGTATGCCTCGGTGCATTAGGAGGTTTGAACTCAGGTCACCAGGCTTGGCATAGCACCTTTGCTAAACCATCTCTCCAGCCTCCTGTGTTTCACAATGTACCCCATAAAGCGCCTTAAAAACCTCAGTTACTAAGATAAGTTCTTTAGATACAAATAAGTGTAACAAAAAATAATTTAAAAGAAGCAAAAGGAAAAAAGCAAGTGTAACAAAACAAGATAATTTAATTTTTTAAATCCCCTGAACAAAGTAACTCTAAAAGCCACCAAAACCATATGTATGTGTGCATGTATATGTGTGTATGTATGAATGTATGAATGTATGAATGTATGTATGTATGTATGTATGTATGTATGTATATCTTGTCAAAACACAAGACAGAAGGAAGCACTCACTTTGGGTGTGTACAACCACTCCTGAAAGCTGCGGCATTCTAAGCTCCTCCTACTCTTTCCCTCTAAAACCACTTAAATCTCAACAAGTATTTTATTTATTTATTTTGAGGTCAAGCCTCACTATGAAGCTCAGGCTGTCCCAATACTCACTGTGTAAATCAAGCTGGCCTCAAACTCAGAGAGACCTGCCTGTTTAGTTCTAGGATGAAAGGCGTGTGCCACTCACCACACCCACCCTAGCATGTGTTATTTTTGTTCTTCATAAATTCCACACTTCACTTAATAAACATTGACTTGGCTTTATACTAATGGGTCCTGAAATTATTTTCTGTATGGAGAGTCAAGACCATGGGCTCCCCTCAGTGGGCTCTCTGAAGAGAGCTCAGCTGTGCAGCAGGCAATGCTCGTGAGCTGAGTCTCCCTTGGCAGCCCCCTCGGGTACATCTTCAGCCCTGTCACACACATCATCTTCTCCCCAGCAGCGGGATCCGTATCCCAGGCATTTTAGTCACTCCTCAGCTCTTGGCTATGATCCAGCATGGTATTTGGACATTTGAAACTGAATGCCTTCTCAAAGCTCATCTAAACTACCTACATAATCTTCTTCCCAAAATAAACTATGGGAATTAACCTGTTTTTACCAGCAACCTAAGTTCAAAACTTCAAAATCAAATTCTTACATTTCCTTTATTCTGCCAATTCCTCGTTATTCTTCCTTCAAGTTCTTCTTCACTGGCCATTTCCTGCTGCTGATCTGTCCATGACACTATCAGCCAGTACAGGATCTAGTGCCCTCCCTCCTCAGTGACTCGGTGGTACCTGAATTGCTCCTACCCCACCTCTGTCCTATACCATTCCAACCTTACTGGGGATAAGAATCTGGAGATCAAATTCACCTATCTCCTGGAAGAGCCTTTAAAAAAAGGAGGGGGAGAGGAGGAGCAGACAATCTTATTTAGCATCTCCTGAAAATGTCTCATCCGTGTTTTATATTTCTTCCCAGCAAGGATACCCTTACTCCAGCTATGATATATATTTATTTATATCACACACACACACACACACACACACACACACACACACACACACACACACACACACACACACTTTTGTGGGGGGTGGAAATGATCTCATTTAATAGCCAGACCTCGGTACTTGCTATATAGACATTTGCCTCAGGGATCCATGTGTCTCTGATGGGAGATGTCATTCTGTATATGTTTCTCATACTGGTTAATAAATAAAGCACTGTTGGCCAATAGGAAAGGAAGATAGGAGGGACTAGGAGACAAGGAGGAAATAGGAAGTAGTAAGGAGGAGTCAAGATGGAGAGTCTGGAGAAAGCAGTATGCCGCCGGCTCCCCGGTAAGAGAAATACATAGATCAGCAGAAATGGGTTAATAATTAAGGCAGAGCTAGCCGATAAGAAACAAGTAACCGGGTCAACAGTATTGTATCAAATACAGAGTCTCTGTGTATTATTTGGGGCTGGCGGCGTGGCGGCGGGACAAGACCAGCGACGACAGGCGAAAAAACCGTACACCTTACATGTCTCTACTTTCCAAGTGCTGGGATTAAAGACCTATACTACCATACTCAGCTCTCAACATCTCAAAAAGCACTTCTATGTTAGGCACTGCCCCAAGGACTGGAGACAAAATGAATACTCCTAATTTCAGGTTTCCCCAATTTGAGAAATCTTCGCAGCTGGATATGATGGCTCTCCCTGTAATCCCAACTCTTGGAAGGTGGGAACAAGAAGGTCAAGGGGTCAAGGTCACATCCTCCTCTGCTACAGAGTGAGCCCAAAGACTGCCTGAGATATATGAAACTGTCTCAAAACAATAAAAAAAGTTTCTTTCATATGTCCATATAATAGCAATTTCTCATTACTTTTTAAAAAGTTTAATTAATTTATTTTTACAGCTGGACCGCAGTTTACCCCCACTCTTCTCCTTCAATTCCCTTCCCCCAAGTTGTTTCTTATACAGCAGCCTATAACATTCAACCCTTAGAACTCGAAGCATCGTGTTGCAATTATTAACCTTTTCATAAACACCCATCTTCCCAAATAACATGGTTTTCTTCCAAGCATGAAGTGGGGTCATGCTGAGAAGCAAAGGGTACTAAATGTGCACCTGACAAATACCTGTGAAGAGAGAAGGGCCTGTGGGGCATCAGGAGCTCTAGCCCAGTGGCTGAGGCCTAGAATACAAGCTACTCAAGAGGCTGAGGCAGAAGGACCACAATCAATAGGACCACAGAGAAGAGGGTCCTACTTAGAAAAGGGTCTGTTCCCCTGCTCCCATCAGTAGACAGGCCAGTTAGGGTCAGAGGTCTGCAAGGATGCCAAGGATGCTGGATGAACTAGGAAACTTTCATTTTTCCATTTGCAAAGAAGTTTAGAATTTGCAACATGTTATGCTGACTTCAGGACTTCTGCAACCTAAATTAGATCATCAACTTAAAAAAAAAAGTCCTTCCTTGCCAAGTGTGGTGGCACATGCCTTCAGTTTCAGCTTTCAGGTGGATCTGTGAGTTCAAAGTCAGCCTGATCTACATAAAGAGAGACTCTGCCCCCCAAAAAACAAAAACCAAACAAGAAAATCCTTTCTTGATCATATTGGAAAAATATATCTAACAAACATACAATATCAAATTTAAAAGTAAGGACTGGGCCAGCGAGACAGTTCAATGGGTAGAGGTGCTTGCTGCTAGGCCTGATCAGAGTTGGCTCCTCAGAGCCAACACGGTGGATGAGGAGAAGAATCCCAAAAGTTGTCCCCTGCCTCCACATGTGCCCTGCGGCATGTGCAGTATGTGCGGAAAGACTTACCACATGTTGTGCTCGAAAACTTTGGCTGGATCAGTTAAAATCCTTGACCCCAGAGGGGCCACCGGGTGGACACCACTCTGGCATCTGTGTGGCACCTTCCCTTGCCTCAGACGACAAATACAATTTCTCCAAATCACATTCATCCTAAAAAAGACCTGCAAAGTCACAAACAGTTAACTAGTTAGTCAACAAGGACAAGAGCAGTTTGCCTTAACCAAGCAGACACAATAAAAAAAGAAAGCCACAGATGAATTTCTTTGATGAATATAGATGTAAAAATTCTCAACAAAATAGATGCAAACCTAATTAAGGGAAACAATAAGAAGATTATACGTTACGACCAAATGGGCTTCATCCAAAAGATGCAAGGTCAGTTCAACATATGTAAATCAATAAATGTAATAGAGCATATAAATAAACTTAAGGACAGAAACTACATAATTCTTCCAATAGATGCTGAAAAGGCATTTGACAAATTCCAACTTGTGTTCATGAGAAAAATTCTGGAGATTTCAGGAATAGAAACAACATGCCCCAAAGTAATAAATGCTATATACAACAAACCATAGCCAACATTATTGTAAATGGAAGCAGTCCCTCCAAATTCAGGGCTGGGACAAGGACGTCCACTGTCCCCTCTCCAAGTCTTGGCTGTAGCAATTCGACAAGATAAAGGCATAAAACAGATATTAGCAGACAACATGGTTCTTTACTTAAAAGATCCTATTGAGTCCCCTAGAAAACTCCTAGACCTAATAAATAGCTACAGTAAAGTTACAGGATAGAAAAATCAGTTTTTTTTTTTTTTTAATAGATTCCACAAAAAAGTACTCTCAAAGGGAGAGCAGTAGGAAAATATCCCATTCAAAATTCCCTCCCAGGTTAAGTATTTAGAAATATGTCTAACTAAGAAAAAAAAAGTCTGCTACAGACCTACTTCTGATAAAGGAAATCACAGAGATACTAGATGATGGAATAACCTTCCATGTTCCTGGATTGGTAGTTCTTACATGTATACGTTTAAGAATGGTCAATTATACTGTTGCAAATATATTTCCCCATACAACACACGTGTTTCAACTCTGGCTCAAGAGAAGACTCGTTAGTTGAAGCTGATGTTGGTAGTTTAGTTGACAATTTAAACTTTAAAGGCTATGCTGTGCTAAATATATTCTGGTAAACAAGTCATTCTCATGTCTTCATGGAAAAGTGTCCAAAAGACTCTCGGTGAACACTGCTGCCGCTTGGCAGGTCGCTGTTCCTCACGACACTGAGCCTATTGCTGTAACCAGTCTGTAGAAATGGTGCTGGGTGAGAGTGATTACGTGACAGGCACCAAGGCGATCAGAGGTGCCATTAGGCACCAAACCACAATGTAGTGAATACCCTTTCTACCCCGCTGAAAATGACCTTCGGAATGTCAAAAACATCTCACTATACTTTAACAACAATTTTCAAGGTTTTTCCTGTTAGGATTTAGTCAGGCAGTAAAAGGCTGGCCAGCTCCATCAGTGAGCGGTGCCTGTCTCAGCTCTGACTCCATCAGTGAGCATCAGTGAAAGGTGCCTGCCCCAGCTCCAGCTCCATCAGTGAGCATCAGTGAAAGGTGCCTGCCCCAGCTCCAGCTCCATCAGTGAGCATCAGTGAAAGGTGCCTGCCCCAGCTCCAGCTCCATCAGTGAGCATCAGTGAAAGGTGCCTGCCCCAGCTCCAGCTCCATCAGTGAGCATCAGTGAAAGGTGCCTGCCCCAGCTCCAGCTCCATCAGTGAGCATCAGTGAGCAGTGTCTGCCCCAGCTCCAGCTCCATCAACAGGCAGCTCTTGCTTTGTTTTCCTTCTCCAAGCTGTTCCACCTTTAGCCTCATGTGTCTTTGTTCTTTCTACAGCCAGTACGCCACACGACACCAATAAAGCTCAACTATCTTTAGACCTTTCCGCATTAAATATATTCATAAAATGTTCTGTGTGCCGAAGAGCAGAAACTGATTACACCCACAAAGACAGGTAATTCACGCTCAAAAATGTAAAATGATACAAACAATGATTCCCACCCAGGAAAGCTGAATCTAAATGTGATTCCCACCCTTCCAATGATCATGTGATACTAACCGCTGTTCAAAAAGGAAAGGAAGGCAAAATTTCTCTCACTGTAAATGACCACACACAAAAGACACAAACAGACAGGCTGTGAGCAAAATGTCAGGAGTGTGTGCCTTGCAGGCTGCTGGCTGGCACAGATTTCGCATGGCCATGGCCTGAGCGTGTGGCAGCTTCCTTGTTTAGGCAGCTGCTTGTTTAATTAACCACACAGACATCTATTTCTTTCATTTCTTTAACATATTTAATAGCCACATCTGGTGATACAACACTGCTATTTATTTTCTTAATTAAATAAAGATCTAATAAATCCAACAAAACATAAAAACATTTTAAATATATAATTTTAATGTATTTAAGCTTCTCAAACTAAATTGCCAGCTTTTAGAAGTAGAGCATGGCTATTTGTGGACTGTTTGACAGACTGCATGAAATGGTACTTACTTGACATAAAGGAAGGAAAAGACCCCATAGATACTGGAAAACTAAATGGATATTACAGACAAGTCTTTATTCATTTATTTATGGGGTAAATATCTTTGAAAACAACTTACCAATAATAACTTTCTAAAACATCATAAGTAAAAGAAAAAAACCTAAGCAAGCCTAAACTTATTAAATAAGTCTATAATTTAAATAAAAACAAGCTCATGATGATTACTAGACACTTTGTGTGTGTGTGTGTGTGTGCGCGCGCACACACACACGCACATATATGTAAAGAATAAATCAGAAAATGCGAGTGTTGGCAAGGATATGAGGAAACTGGAAACCTTACACATTGCTGATAGGATGTAAAATGATGCAGCTGCTATGGAAACAGTATTGTGAACTTCCCAAAAATTAGACCCAGAGCCAGCGATTCCATTTTTGGGTATACATCCAGAAGGAATGAAAGCGGAGAGGGCCCTGGAAAGATGTTTGTGCGCTCAGATTCGCAGTGACACTTTACACTGTAGACAGTGAAGCAACCTGCAGTGTCTTCAGAAGGGGGAATAAGAAGGACTCAATGCTGGATTTGGACACAGGCTATATACTATAGGGTTGGGTCATAAAGACAGTCAAGCTAAGGAAACAGGACAGTCACAAAAGCTCATGTGCCAAACTGTTCCTCTTAGAGACAGCTCCTAGTGCAGTCAGATCCATAGTGACAGAGCAGAGTGGTGCTTGCAGAGGGGAGGATGGGGAGTTTAAACATCTAATAGGCACAGGTCAGGAAATGGGAAATGGAATGATGTCAGGGAAAGCACATCCAGCTGGATACAGGAGGCGCAAACCTAGAAAGCTAATGCACAACACGGATTTTCAAAGGCATGTGTTCTTCCCATGTATGAAGATTACATGATGAAATCCAATATTTTATACGCTAACCTAAAATTTAATTTTAAAAGGTACGTGTTCACACATACATTTATACACTCATTCAAAGGGCAGCCAAGCGAGATTTCACTACATACATGCAGTGATCTGAACATGTCTTACTGCACTCCTTACAGAGACACGATTTTAAAAGGAAGCTAGTTAGATATGGTGGCACAAGCCTATAATCCTAGCACTTGAGTAGCAAAGGTATAAGGCCAGTCTAAGTGAGACTATTTCTCCAAAAACAAAGCAAAACAAAACCCACGTCCCCAACAGACAAATACAGACATGAATCAATCAAAACAGAACAAGCTAGACAAAGAAACCTGGTGCAGTTTCCCTTGGGGAAGTCGGAAAGTCCTAGAGATGGGTGCTGGTAATACTTGTACATGAATGTTTAATGCCTGTAAACCACACACTTAAGAAGGGTTAAAATGGTAACTCTTCTTTTAGGTATATTTTCCCACAATAGGAAACAAACAGCTTCCTTACAAAGAGAGCAGCAGGCCCATATGTCCTCACCAGTGAACATCAAACATTTAAGAAAAACAAAAACAAAAACTAGTACCAAAAGTACAAAACTCTATAGCAGATGAGAACACTTCTCAGCTCCTCTTCTGAAGCTGGCATCGCCGGGAGAATTAAAATGAATTTGTATGGAAAAAAAAAAAAAGTTTGAATATGGCCACATCATTACGGTACAATTTTCCTACTGATGGTGCTTCCTGTAAGATTTTCAGGTTATAAAGAATTTTCTAGGAATAAAATTTGAGGATATCTAAGAGGGAACGCCTAGGTGAGAGGTTTCAGAGCATTTCTTATTATACTTTAATTGCTGAGGCTGATATAGTCATGAGCTGCATAGCAATATGCTGGTTACAGACAAATTGCATATAGTAGTTTCCCTCAGATTACAGTAGAAAAAAAAAAAAGATTATAATGGGGAAAAAATTCCCACCACCTAGTATTTTATCACACCTTTCCTGTGTATAGATAGACAAAGACTGTTACATTACAGTAGTCATGGTAGCAGTGCAGGAGTGTTGTTCATAGGTCTTTTGTTTTATTATTATTAATTTTATCTAGGAGGGCTGGCTACATCATACAGCTTAGGTATAAAGGGAGGCTATATCATCCACACTGGTGTAGTGCATCTTATGGTGTGCACATAGTAACAAATCGTCTACTGACATGTTTCTCAGAAGGTATCCCCATCATTAATAAACTGTACTTAGTTTACGCCACTCCAGTTCCAAGCACAGAAGTAGAGCAACAAGATCTATCCATCTGTCTGTCTGTCAATTCATTTGCTTACTACTTCTGAATACAGCATATACCCAAGGTAACCCAGTACTGATTCTTGGGTTTCACACAGTTGCTAATTTTTCAAAACTGACTAAAGGAGGACTGTAGTCTCTGTAGCTTCTCTTAGGCCTTCATCAAACAGCCAACAAGAAATGCAGCTGGGAGTCTCTAGCCCCAGAAGAGAAGAGTACTGTTTTGTTTTTGTTTTTGTTTTTTTTAATCTCAGTGCTCAAACCTCAAGAGACTTGTATCATGGAGAGAAAGTTCCATTTTACCACAGGTCCTTCCACTAAGCAAGCAGCACAGCTGAGGAGTGGAGGAAGGAAGGGATTTTAACTTCCCTGCTTCTTAGTGATGCAATCTAAGAGGAGACTGCAGTGCTG